CGATGGTTTGACACACCCTGCTCGTTCGTTACCATTACAAACGATGGTTTGATACACCCTGCTCGTTCATTACTATTACAAACGATGGTTTGACATACTCTGCTCGTTCATTACCATTACAAACGATGGTTTGATACACCCTGCTCGTTCATTACTATTACAAACGATGGTTTGACATACTCTGCTCGTTCCTTACCATTACATACGATGGTTTGACACACCCTGCTCGTTCATTACTATTACAAACGATGGTTTGACATACCCTGCTCGTTCGTTACTATTACAAACGATGGTTTGACATACCCAGCTCTATAGTTAATTAGTGCTCTTGTACACTTCCAGTTTCTAGGACAGTGGTTGAAATTTATAAGATCATGCTGTAATACAGTTTCTACCTCTGATCCTTTCAAATACTCATGCTGAAATAACATTTTAAACTCAATTCTTTGAATCTGTTAAGTTTTAAATATAACTTTAACAAACTTTTGTTGTAAAAAAAAAATTAATTAATGAAAAACAAAACCCTACAACTCAAGTACTTTTCAAAGATGGACCAGTTTACCCCCTGGAAGAAACGTCCACCTTTCACATGCACTTGGGTTAAATTATTTTGTATTTTTATCTTTCTCAGTAGTAATGACATAATTACAGTATTTATTTATCATTAATAAAATGATGATGATAACAACACAAACTTATACACCAAATTCTTTTAATTCATGAATATTTCAGTTGCAGATCAAACCATGATTGGTCAATATTTCAACAAACTTGTTTTGGTACTGTTGTAGCAGAATAAAAAGTAAAACTTGCATATCTGACACACACAGTTCATGATCAAACAGTACTCATTAGCACATGCGGTAATCAATGTCAAAACTATGGGCAGTATTCTCCCGTAAGTGACAGACCAGAGATTTGAACCAAACTCTTGATTGCAACGATTAATGTATTAGTAATGAACAATAATATAGTGTGTGTGTGTGTGTATGTATATATCTCCAACTTCCGTAACGGTTACCACTAAAAAGTAAAGAAATATGTTCCGATACTTTTAACTTTCATCTTTAAGAAATTTTACTTTGCGACGTAAGGTACTAGTCCATACCGACATTTGTTTGTACACATTATCGGCCATTGGTGCATTAAGATCGGCAACGGAATTATTAGTTAGAGTTAAGATGGATAACATGTCCTCCTCAGCTCCATACTTTTCCAGCTGAGTAACCAGGCACTGAATAAAGAAACTCCCATTTGATGTTGAACGGAATGATACGTAGCTGTTGAAAAGCGAACATTATGTTAGTTTCATGATTGAGGCATGTTTAGTTATAATAAAAAATATAATTTAAAAGATTAATATATCATATTTAATTGAATTTATAAAAAATATATTTTTATCATTAGCAATTAGTTAAACAAATTATTAATGTCAGTGAAAGTAAAGTATAGTACATCCAGTGTTTGTAATACAACATCCATTATGTTTGAGCACTTCAAAACAAAAAAACTACACCTGGTGTGAAAATGCACAATATAATTTGACACTCACAAAGAAAGCTTGCAGTTTGTGATAAAAAGTATATTTGACACTGAAATATTCCAAGCAAACCTTTGATATGTGTGGAGCAGAATCCAAATTTTTGAAATGAGGTGGTTCGTTGTTCCAATATGGAAACTTCAGCATTCACTTGTAGAACGTACCATGCCTAAACTTTTCAATAACAGCTATGTAACGTTTATAGATGACATAAGAGAGATGCATTTTAGGGATCCTGTCTCTAAATTTGAAATATACATACGACATATCAGTCTGAAAACTATTCTAAATTTAAAAATCGTTTTAATCTTTTTCTTAAATTCTATTGCGTTTACTAGTAAAAGGTAGAATACAATAAACTATTTCTTTAGTTTCAACACATTTACTGATTTTAGAAATGTACAAAGCTTTTAGATAATTTTATCAAATAATTGTACAGGAAACCTTTAATTCTTCATGAACTCCTGAAAAGGAACTAACTTTATTATAGGCCCAATGAATTATAAACTAAAGAAATAATTTTATTGTATTCTACCTTTTACTGACAAAAATGAAATAGAATTTAAGAAAAAAGATTAAAGCAATTTTCAATTACAAAATTTACCCACAAATTGAGTTTAGAATTATTTTCAAACCGATATGTCGTATATTTTAAATTTAGAGACAGGATCCATAATATGCACCTCTCTTATTTCATCAATAAATGTACATGTCCGAGGTGTAACTATGGTTATGTGAGCTCTACAATGCATTGCTTGAGTTCAAGAATTAAACAGCATGCACAAAATACACTTTATAATCAGTTGGCCATTCTTCGTCATTAACTGTGATATTAGAGTTACTGCCAACAATTTCAGCATCTGGGAAGTACAGCCAATGAAAAGATGCTCCAGATCAAAGGAAGTTTGTGTATACACATGGTACATCCTAACTTGAATGTAAACCAAAGAGCATCATCTTTGCTTCTTAAACTATGATTTGTTCATTGCCTGAGGATGGTTTAAATAAATAGTGTACATTAAAGGTGATACAATTCCAGTGCATTAGTAAGTGGATGAAGGTGTAACATGAAGAATACTCAGTGTACTGGTACATTAAATGTACTTTTGTGCAGTATCTCTTTATGAGCAGGTCAACAGTCACAATAACCTTAGTATACCTCTGGGCAGTTTCCTTCTAGGTACAGGTCAACAGTTCTAATAACCTTTGTATATATCTGGGCAGTAAACCTTTACACAGGTCAACAGTTCTAATAACCTTTGTATCTTTCTGGGCAGTGTACCTTTACACAGGCTAATAGTCCCAATAAACTTAGTATACTTCTGGGTAGTATACCTTTACACAAGTCAACAGTCCCAATAACCTTAGTATACCTCTGGGCAGTTTCCTTCTAGGTACAGGTCAACAGTTCTAATAACCTTTGTATATATCTGGGCAGTATACCTTTACACAGGTCAATAGTTCTAATAACCTTTGTATATTTCTGGGTAGTATACCTTTACACAAGTCAACAGTCCCAATAACCTTAGTATACTTCTGGGCAGTTTCCTTCTAGGTACAGGTCAACAGTTCTAATAAACTTTGTATCTTTACACAGGCTAATAGTCCCAATAACCTTAGTATACTTCTTGGCAGTTTCCTTCTAGGTACAGGTCAACAGTTCTAATAAACTTTGTATCTTTCTGGGCAGTGTACCTTTACACAGGCTAATAGTCCCAATAACCTTAGTATACTTCTGGGTAGTTTCCTTCTAGGTACAGTTCTAATAATCTTTGTACAAATCTACATATACTTGAGAGAACACAAAATACCAAAAAAGTCACAGTACACCAACAGGAATATTAGTTTTAAAACTTAAAAACAGCTAACATGGGATAAACAAACGTATAATAAAATGACATTTCACAACCATTAATCTGGCACTATGAGGAGCCAAAACATTGTTCTACAGTATATTTTATTATCCCATTTTTAAGCTATATTGTGGAGGATACCCCCAGTAGTTACTATAGGAGAATAAAATCCAAAGTATATTCCAACAAAAAGTATATTTGCAAAGTTACTTTTCTTACAGTGAAAGTTTATTTCCAATAGGTACTCACCATCCCTCACACAAAAGGTTTCTCGATTGTTGACTGCCCTCTAAGCATTGCTAAAAGAATTTTTTGCAATCAGGGCACCAGTTTTGAGTCATTTCTGAATATGTATCTATCATGTAACTACCCTCCATGAATAGTACTGTGCCACCTATAACGGTGCAGCTAGCTCCCTTTGCTATTCCTACACAATTCTCACATTTGAGAATTGGCAGGCACTAGAATAAAAACACCAGTGTTAGTGGCGAAGAAGGATGGGAAGTAACTATTCAAAATACATTTGAGACAAAGCATACTTGACCGGGCAACACCCACCACAAGGTAGGATCCGTAAAGAAGATGCTAAGATTAGGGAAGCTGAAAAGAAAACATGGATGAAAGGAAGCGATAAGACTTACCCCAGGCAAAAGGACGTGCAGAATCGCCATTGGAGGAAGACTATATCCACCAGAGGAGGTGGGTCAATGCTCGACAAACAACCAAAAGCTCGATAAAGGTGATATGGAGAATGACTCCTTGATTGATCAGAGACTGAAAATCTCCCAGGAGTTGAAGTAAGAACCTCGGGCCCTTAAGAGAAAAAATGTAAATCCAGACAAGGTGGAGTAAGTAGCACCTCAGTTGCAGTTTGGACTCTGTTCAACCACTAATTCAGGGATCTGAGAAGAAGTTTCACTGATCAAGGAGTGTACACTGAAGAGAATGTATACAACCCCAACCCATGAGAATGAAAGCTTCTAAGGAAGTCTACATCCCCAAAAGAGATCGATCATATTGAGCCATAAGAAAGGTGAGGGATGAGTGAACTGCTCACTCCAAACTCGAAGACAAAGAGAATTACGTTGGAAAGACCCCCCCCCCCAAATGAATGGGGTATTGAGAGGGGGTCAGATTAGACTTCCCCTTGTCATAAGGAAACCAACCTGTTCTGTATTTTGTAGGAGTGTGTACTCTGGAGTGAAAACTGGAGGAAGCAAGCAGAAGCCAGTCAAACCAAGAAGGAAGAATGCAAGACTCATAGAGTGAAAAAGTCAGGAAAAAGTTTGAAATCCCTGACAAAACATATAAAGAGCTGTCTAGAATCATGAATGTAGGAAAAAAACCAAAGCTAAGCTCAGCCCTAAGAATAGGAAAGAAACAATCATGTCAGTGAAGTAACAAGGCAAAGACAGTAACAAGACAGAGAAAGTAACCTAGACAACAAGGACACAGAATTATAACTTACACTGACTAATATTAGGAGGAAAGATATATACTTAACAATGACAAAAAAAATGATTTAAAGAAATTATTTGTTAGTAGTAGTAATGATATGGAAGGTACAAACTAACCAAACATACCCAATTAACAAAGTACCTATACATGAAACAAATTATCTAAATGTATCCAGTCCACAAAGTATGTAATAAAAACTAACGTGTAAACATAAATAATCAATATCTAACATACCATTACACAAGTTAACCAAGAAGACAAAAGACACGTAAAGAAGTCCAACACTGACGTAAATGGGGACAAGAAGGCACACAGTTAACAACCTACATTAATTAACAAATAGAACAATGAATTATATGTTAGCAGTAGTAATGATAAGTATAAACTATTAAAGATATCAAGTTAATAAAATTTTTATAAATAGGAAATAGACAAACCATTTAAATGTAACTAGTCCACTAAATATATAATAATAATGAATGTGCATAACAATTAAATTTACTAAAATTATAAAGTAATAATCAATATGTAACATATAATTAAACTAAAGTAACATAGACAACAAAGTACATCTAAATATCTAACTTAACAAAGTCTGAGCACTGATGATGTGAAATACACAAGTTTCCCATGTGCAAAGGTCATCAGAACCAGGCCTACCAAGGGTACATAAACCTGGTGTGAAGTGTACATGTTGAAAAACTTACCACAAACGTCTTGAGAGAACTTGATGCTAAAGGAAGAGGGGAACAAGTTTCCCATGTGTAAAGAAGGTCATCAGAACCAGGCCTACCAAGGGTACATAAACCTGGTGTGAAGTATACATGTTGAAAACTTACCACAAATGTCTTGAGAGAACTTGATGCTAAAGGAGGAGTAGAACAAGTCTCCCCCAATCAAAAGACATAGCAGCCAGCAATTGGGGGAAGGTGCCTGAAAAAGGAGAGACCAAAGTGGCAACTCAATGAGTGTCTTCTTCTATAAGAACAGTCACGTTAAAAAGAAGAAAACACCAGCTGAACGTAAGACTCTGACCCACCAACCAACCAAGGCATGTAGTTCCTCAGTAGATAAAGTCAACCCTGTGTCCTGGAAAGTTGTGCCGTATGCACTGTTGACTGACATGGTAATATCATTGTCCATCAAAGGAAACCTCAAATTCATACTAAAACACATAGAATTTGGGAATGAGAAAATTTCAAATACACATTCGTGGAAAAAACGAAATCAAACACGAAAATTAGAAATTGTTGAATAAACTTCATCAGAAATAGCAACAACCAAAAAACTGTAGTCAAAAAAATTAAACACACATCTAAACTGTGCTGTTATAGGTGGCACAATACTATTGGTGGAGATAGTCACATGATATGTACATGTTCAGAAATGGCAACAACCAAAAACTGTAGTCAAAAAAATTAAACACACATCTAAACTATCATGTCAATAAAAAAAATGAGGATTGAGCAGGAATAGTAAAGGTAGGTAGCTGTGCTGTTATAGGTGGCACAATACTATAGGTGGAGAGTAGTCACATGATATGTACATGTTCAGAAATGGCACAAACTGGTGTGGTATAAAGACTAGTGCACTGATTACTAAAAATGTATTTAGCAATGCTTAGAAGGCAGAAAGAATCAAGATAGCTTTTGTGTGAAAGGAGGTAAGTCCATTTTGGAAAATGTATATCCAGTGACAAAAATACAGGTATGGTCTAAAGAATAATTACAAGCTGAATAGTTTATACAGATCTGTACAAATACAGTAACCAAACAGACGAGACAACTACTAACATTACCATGAGCTACAAGCCAATCAGTACTAGCTATCCAAGAAAATTGTTTCATGCAGTATAAATTATATATATTAAACTGTTTAACGTACAATCACATTACTATAACTCTGAAAGTTAATGAAATTGTATAGTAAAACTGAGTTTATCGGTATCTTGTCAGTTAGTTTAAGGTAAAGTGATCCAGTGTACAAATACAGCTGGTAAACAGTGATTTAGAAGCAACTTCTTTAGCTTTGGTAGACTGTTCTTCCTGAGTAGTGGTGACATATGTGATTTAATATCCCATAAAACTGATAACAAACAATATATGCAAACAAACACTGGTTAAGGTATTTACAGATGTGTGTGTTACTCTGTTACAGGGTATTTATAATGTGTCACATACTCAAAAAGTGATTTGTTGTATGTTTTGTGTGACAAATTTGAACAACACCCACCCTATAAAAAATCTGGACAGAGCAGGAAGGCCCATAATAATGTAGGTACCAAATGTCAAGTTGTCCTGCTAATCTACAAAACTGACTGTGTATTTGGAATAGCCTGTAAGTATATTTATGAGAATATATATTAAATCATCTGATTCTGAAGGTACTCATATTCATATATCATTAACAAACAGTCAGGTCGACATACTTACTCTGGGACTGTTGCAAAGGCACAAAGTATATCACTATGTTCTGGTAAGTTGTACAAGTTTTGAGCTAGACTGTCCGTAGATATATTTAGCTCCTGTATTGCTTCAGCTGGATGATCAGTGAAATAACCTGATAAATATTAAAGTTACATTTACGGTATGCCACAAATGTTGAATAATAACGCTAACAACAATGCAGGAAATAGGAGTATTCTCTGGCAAGTTTGTAGCAACAAACATTAATATAATCATTCCATTAAACATTAAAACTTCAAACCAACAGGTAATTTTTATTACTATAATCAGTAATTGGGAGAAACACAATTATTTAAAAAAAATAATAAAAACAGCTTTCTTGTCTTTTCAATTTATTAATTCAGTTTTAAAAAAAGAACACAACTGAGATGCACAAAAAAAAACTGATATTTCTGTATTAGTTAGATAAAAACTACGTTATAAACATAAATTACTCTAATACTTACAGTTACATCAACTAATAGCAGCACTTATCAGTAATGCTATTATTAGTTAGATAAATACTACGTTATAAACATAAATTACTCTAATACTTACAGTTACATCAACTAATAGCAGCAACTATAAGTAACGCTATTATTAGTTAGATAAATACTACGTTATAAACATAAATTACTTTAATACTTACAGTTACATCAACTAATAGCAGCACCTATAAGTAACGTAGTATTTATCTAACTAATAATAGAGGTGCTGCTATTAGTTGATGTAACTGTAAGTATTAGAGTAATTTATGTTTATAACGAACAGTAACGCTATTATTAGTTAGATAAATACCATGTTATAAACATAAATTACTCTGATACTTACAGTTACATCAACTAATAGCAGCACTTATCAGTAACGCTATTATTAGTTAGATAAATACCATGTTATAAACATAAATTACTCTAATACTTACAGTTACATCAACTAATAGCAGTACCTCTCAGTAACGCTATTATTAGTTAGATAAATACCATGTTATAAACATAAATTACTCTAATACTTACAGTTACATCAACTAATAGCACCACTTATCAGTAACGTTATTATTAGTTTGATAAATACTACGTTATAAACATAAATTACTCTAATACTTACAGTTACATCAACTAATAGCAGCACCTATAAGTAATGCTATTATTAGTTAGATAAATATTACGTTATAAACATAAATTACTCTAATACTTAGTTACATCAACTAATAGCAACACTTATAAGTAACACTAATAATAGCAGGGGAAACAATTATTTAAATTTTTCTTTGTAAAAAGCTATAAATACTTTTATATTTTTACTTTATTAAGCTACAAAACACATGATTTTTTTTTTATTGGTGGAATTTTTCATATTTGTTTACTAATCTGAAGTGATACAAAACTTTCTCAAAGAATGGTTGTTTTGTTGCTGAAAGACAATAGCACTTAAACCATTGGTGATACAAGTATATTTAAAGTGTTTGAATTACTAGTACTTGCTTTTCAATCAGTATACAGCCTGTTGAAAAAAACTATATAAATATCCCAGCTTTTAAAACATTACAAAAATTTATACGTCAGTACCGTACCTTACTCACACGTCAGTACCGTACCTGACTTACACGTCAGTACCGTACCTGACTTACACGTCGGTACTGTACCTGACTTACACGTCGGTACCGTACCTGACTTACACGTCGGTACTGTACCTTACTCACACGTCAGTACTGTACCTGACTTACACATCAGTAGTGTACCTGACTTCACGTCAATACTGTACCTTACTCACACTTCAGTACCGTACCTTACTCACACTTCAGTACTGTACCTGACTTACACGTCAGTACCGTACCTGACTAACACGTCAGTACCGTACCTGACTAACACGTCAGTACCGTACCTGACTAACACGTCAGTACCGTACCTGACTAACACGTCAGTACCGTACCTGACTTACACGTCAGTACTGTACCTTACTCACACTTCAGTACTGGTACTTGACTTACACGTCAGTACTGTACCTAACTTTCACATCAGTACTGTACCTAACTTTCACATCAGTACTGTACCTGACTTACACGTCAGTAATGTACATAACCTTCAAACTTACCAACCACTGATCAGTGCTGGGAAAGTTTCTTGTACTTTATGCCTGCATTCATTTTCTGTAAATTTCATTCACCTTCTGAATGCAACTAGAGATAACTTTCTCATCGTTGCGTTAAGAACATTCAGAACTTTGAATAACGTGAGAACAACTATGAAAGGCTTTGGGGATTTTTTGAAGTAAGGCCATCTGATTCGAAAACAATTTTCTCTTGCATATAATTTCTTAAAATAGGAACCAAAAGAGAGAAATTATGCTAAGCTTGTTCAGAACTTACCTCTTTGGTAAACGTTTCCTTGACACGCTTGAAAAAAGAAAAGTTTAGGTTTTCCTGCTAAGCTTGTTCAGAACTTACCTCTTTGGTAAAGTTTCCTTGACACGCTTGAAAAAAGAAAAGTTTAGGTTTTCCTGCTAAGCTTGTTCAGAACTTACCTCTTTGGTAAATGTTTCCTTGACACGCTTGAAAAAAGAAAAGTTTAGGTTTTCCTGCTAAGCTTGTTCAGAACTTACCTCTTTGGTAAATGTTTCCTTGACACGCTTGAAAAAAGAAAAGTTTAGGTT